CATACATACATACATACATACATACATACATACATACATACATACATACATACATACATACATACATACATACATACATACATACATACATACATACATACATACATACATACATACATACATACATACATACATACATACATACATACATACATACATACATACATACATACATACATACATACATACATACATACATACATACATACATACATACATACATACATACATACATACATACATACATACATACATACATACATACATACATACATACATACATACATACATACATACATACATACATACATACATACATACATACATACATACATACATACATACATACATACATACATACATACATACATACATACATACATACATACATACATACATACATACATAACTCATGAGTAGAAACGTACGTAGATTAGATGCTCAGCGTTGCAGCAAAAAGTTTTTCATCCTATGCAAATGTTTATCTCGCTCTCTTTCTCTCTCTCTCTCTCTCTCTCTCTGTCTCTCTTTCTCTATCTCTATCTCTCTCTCTCTCTCCTCTCTCTCTCTCTCTAGACTGCTGTTACAATTTTGCTTCCTTTATAAACACAACATCACCATCCTCATTTTAATTATTTCTTTATTTTACCACATATTATCTAGAGTATCACATCATAATGGTGGCCATGATACAGTATCATTGCACAGTATCATATCATAATGGTGGTCATGATACAATATCATTGCACAGTATCATATCAAAATGGTTGCCCTGACACAGTATCATTGCACAGTATCATATCATACTATCCTAATCGCGTTTCACGGTTTTATCATCATATTTCTTTCATCACAACTGCACCGTTGTTATCACCCCTCTTCCCTCAGCATCATCATATCATCTTCATCGCGCCATTATTTTTGTTATTATCATCACCATCACATCAACTGCAAAACTAGCATCTTCAAGTAAGAAACCACGAAGCAATATGGGGTGTTTAGTTCAATTACAACAACATCAACGTACAACATAATAACTAAACCAAACCAACAAACACACAGACATTCACACATACACGTATACAATACATGTACAGTGGATAAATATATTAATAAAGGAGTGAATGAATAAGTAAATGAACGATTTATTGAATAGATGGGTAGAATTTAAATAAATGAATGAATTGAAAGATGAGTTATAATTAAAAAGATAAGTGATACAAAATGATGTGATACAAAACGATGAGATACTGTATGATACCATATCATATAATACAGCCCTTCATGATGCTATGTGATATATATCATAAAAATTGTATACAAACAGTCTCCTTTTAGGTGCAGTTATATCAATTCTAGATAACTAAATACAGCGAATTCTGGAAAAATGAAATATGAGGAAAAATGAGAACGAAGATGATTTACTCACTTTAGATGATGAGATTGTGTAATGGTTATGTGTGTGCGTGTGTGCGTGTGTGCGTGCGTGTGTGTGTGTGTTAGAGCCTTTTCATATGCACTTCTACTACTACTACTATTACTACTACTACTACTACTACTACTACTACTACTACTACTATTACTACTACTACTACTACTACTACTACTACTACTACTACTACTACTACTACTACTACTACTAGTGCTACTACTACTACTACTACTACTACTACTACTACTACTACTACTACTACTACAACTACTAGTGCTGCTGCTACTACTACTACTACTACTACAACTACTAGTGCTGCTGCTGCTACTACTACTAATACTACTACTACTACTACCGCTGCTGCTGCTACTACCACTACTACTACTACTACTAATAATAATAATAATAATCATAATAATATTCATAATATTATAATAATAATAAAATTGCACTTAGCATTCGTTATTTGAATTTAATTTAATTTAATTCCTCATTCACGATATCAGTTTAAATTATTTATCATGTTGGACATAAACACACTTATGAAATTATTAACACACACTAACACACACACACATACACATATACATCTACACATACATACACACATACACACACATACACGCACAACAAACGAAAACGTATTTATTGATACAACCAAAATATACAACAGGCACGTATATTAACATGAGAATTGAACTTAAGAACATAACTCCAGTTAAAGTCGTTCGAAAATCGATTTAAAAATTTTCAATTTAATTTTAAAAAATTTTTAAATTTAATCTTAAAATATAGTTTGGAGAGCCAAGAGGTTATTTATTACACTGGTACATCTATAATGTTGTTTAATAGCGGCGATTTGTTAAGTTTGTTAAGTTTAATATTGAATAGAAATTAATTGAAATTGAAATCTCGTGTCAAGTTGTGCATAATTTTTTGCCATCTTGTTTGGTGGTTTAGTGAATCAGTGAATGTACAATAGAATTAATAATTGTAAAGTTAGCTTACAATACTTTTTTCAAGACAGGAACTCCAACAAGCCAATCAACCAATCGACCAACCAGACAACCAGTCAATCAGCCAGCAAACTAGTCCTATAAAACCAATCAATAAATAAACCAGCCAGCAAATAAACAACAAACAAAAAACCAACCAGCCAAACAATGGTCTACACAACGTACAACTCATCGTACGACTACAGCTACACCTCCACCGCAATCCCTGCTTCAGCCACAAGCACGCTACGTCCACAAGTAATCGCAACCACACAGATCAAAACCTCGTACACTGGCTTCAAATGGGCCGCACTGTTTGCTTGTGTTATATTTTTCCTTGGCGGGGGTATATTTGCGTTATTGGGCTTCATGTTTGCTAGTAAGCTACGTACATTTATCTTGTTATCTTATTTAAGAAACACTCAACTAGGTTTTAAAACTTTTTCCTTAATTAAAAATTTCCTAATTTTCATTCTTGCTTAACTCGTTTTCCAGCCTGGCACTATGTTTATGTATGAAACTCTATCGCTACCTACCGACACAACTATTCACACATTTTCTTTGCTCACAACCGCGGTTCCTGTATGAGTATGCTCACGTTGGCTACCTCTTCGACTTTGTGAATCTTACTTCTCTTCAAATCCGAAACTGCTGCCCGTTCGCAAAAAGAAAGCTTGAAATGACGAGATGAACTTTTTAAGGGGGCCAACATCCAAATCGGGAAGGTTCACCATGGCCGAAAATTCAAGGCCAACAAAAAGTCAATGTGCGAATTTTTTAATATCGCGACAATTATTTATATTTCCACAGCCACACTCTATAGAAAGATTATTTTAAAGTTTTTCGGTCACCCGTCCAAATTTCTGGTGCGACCAGCTAACAAGTTAAGCAAAGACGGACATGAGATAACCAAACGCTCATTACCGATTTACCTGATTGATATTCTCACTATAAAAAACAATTTTGATACAAAAGTAACAAGAGATCTCCATTGTAGAAACGTGCTACTCATTTTGTATTTGTAAAGTGCTTGGATGTGGTTTTCTTTATATTGAAATTATACGTCAAAATGTAACCAGGGCGTTTTTAGCAATATCTCGATTGTTTTTTTTCCAAATTTGAATGATAATAATAATAATAATAACAATAATAATAATAATAATAATAATAATAATAACAATAATAATAATAATAATAATAAAAAGTAGAATAATAATAATTTTGCAGTGATAGCCCAGTGGTCGTCTGGGAAAGGTGAGTACAACTCGGCGAAGATGATGATAACTCTATCATACATTCACTCAGTAGTTGGCTTCATCATCACCGCCATCATCGTCACCATCGTTCTTTTCATTTATCTTCAGAAGAAAAGTGATTAGGATGATGAAGAAGATGATGAAGACGATGTTGTTGTTGTTGAAGATGATGATGACGACGATGTTGTTGATGTTGTTGTTGAAGATGATGATGACGATGATGAGAAAGATGATGATGATGATGAGGACGATGTTTTTGTTGTTTTTATAATGAATGTGTGTGTGTATGTGTTTGTATATCTGTGTGTACGCGTATTTATGTGTGTGTGTGTATAAATTATTAATGGAAGCCCAACTTTTTTCATATATAGCAACTTGAATCGGCCGAATATTATCATTATGTAATACAGAGTACTCACTACAGACTAGTTCGATTCTTTTAATCTCCTAAGCATAAGAATGTGTAATTTGATAATGGAAATCCCGACATAAATTTAGTTTGAAAAATCAAGTTTAACCTGTCAACTGAAATCTACCGTATGGTAAATCTTTTCTAGTTATTCATTCAAGCTATATTTTCAACGCTGAACGTATGCATTGCACACCGACCGGCTTCAGCTTTTACCTTGATAACTTTATTAATTAATAACTTAACAGACATGTTTGATTGAGTTTATTGAGAGGATAATTTCTCTAAATAACGACATAAAAAAAATTTTTGACATTGGGTAATTATTATATGAGACGTTATTGTTATCGCTGGCAAATTGTTTGATCCTGTTTGCTTGCAAAACTCTAATAGACGAGAATTGTAACATTCACTATTACACAATGATGTGAGTGAGTGTGTGTGTGTGTCTGCGTGTTTCTGTGTGTGTGTGTTTGCGTGTGTGTAATTACAGAAATTACAATTACACTTTTGTCCTAAAAGACGCATGAGCCGCTAATTACTTTACATTTGCGATAGAGGTGGTACATTTCTTCTCGGTGTATAGACTTTATGCTGAGTGTTTGAATTTACGTTGGCTGATTGATTTTAATGCTGAATATGCCGGGGTTTTTGTTTCATTGTTTAGTTGTTAGCTGGTTCAAATGCAGCAGCAATCCATTTTTATGCTAATTTTATGGTAAGATACTACGTCAACTTTAACGTATCTGGCCGTTTTGATTTTTTTGTCAAATGCTAATAATGTTACGTTGAATAATTGTGGTTTATTGTATGATACTGTTTTTAATAAAAGCCAAATTTGTCTTAACTGATTCATATTTCAAATATTTTATCTGCACAGCTACATTCGTAACTCTATCTTAGTCAAATTCACATACACAACACAGTCAAACACAAACAAGTATACACACATTTGCACACGCACATACACACATTTACACACGTACACACATTTGCACACGTACACAAACACACACATACACGTGGTAGTTTGAAAAAAGCTGGCAAGCAATTACTATCTTCAATAATATTCACCATTAAGTTAATTATTAAAAAAAAACTAGCGCCTGCCAATAAAGACAATTTCACTACATCAAATATCGATTGAATGACCAAAAATACAACAAAATGGCCAAAAGTACCACAAATTGACCAATAATACCACACAAAACCACACTTTTGATTCACAGTTCAACGATTTATATATGAAAAATACAAGCTCAACGTAAGAATTTTATTTTCACCTTTAATTTTATCGCTCCGAGCACACTCGCCTAATTACTGCATCCGGTTTCGCCTTACTCTGACAACAATTATGTACGTGACTGCCATCTGGCAACTGTGCAAACCTCAAAGAAATAATTACATTACATTAGGCGCTAGACAACTAAATGATTAACACGTGTGATTACGAAAGAGAGTTTCACATGTGCATGTGTGAAGAGAGGTAGAGAAAAAGAGAGAAAAATAGAATAGATATATATATATATAGCCATAGTAACAACAACAACAACACCAGCAACATCAAACTTCTGTAAAGTGGCAAATTGAATAAAATGGAGCAGCAACAACCACAGACAACTTTCGTCACAGCCGGCCCGCCAGCATCCGGCCAGCAGTCTTCCGGTCAACTACATCTCAACAACCGACCGTACCTCAACCTGACAGGAGCCTTTATTTACTCCTGTGTTGTCTTCTGGTGCTGTGGCTGGATCTTCGGGATCGTTGCATTCGTGTGTGCAAGTGAGTTCTCGAAAAGAATGGAATGGCTGTTATAACTTTTTTGGCTAAATAATTTGGTTTTTTTATGTTTTGAGAAAAAAAAAATCTCTTGAGTTTTTTTTTTCAAAAATTTAATCTTGTGATGGTATTATATCAACGTAGATGCGTTTAATAAGTGATATTTTGTATTTAAAATTCAGCATCGGCTAACGTTTTAAATTGTAAGGTTCAATTTTTAATTGAATTAGTTGTTGAATCGATAAATTAACTGACTAAATAAAATTAGAACCAATCACTTTTAAAAAACAAATCACTATTTCAATGACTACACTAGCAAAGCAAAAATCTAAGCGACTACTTCTTAATCAATCGATCAATCAGTTAATCAGTTAACTTATCAATCATTAGCTCTATAAAGCATCAATTCATTTAAATAATTATTTTTTCACTCAACCCTCGAATCAATCAATCAATCACTCATTTATTCAACCAATCAACCAACCAATCAACCATCAATCAATTAATCAACCAACCAATCAACCAACCAATAAACCACCAATCAATCAACCAACCAATAAACCACCAATCAATCAACCAACCAACCAAACCAACCATCAACCAATTAACCAACTAACCAACCAACCAACCAACCAACCAATCAATCAATCAATCAACCAACCAAATAAATGAACCAACCAACCAAACAGTCATCGGCCAATCGAAAGCGAAGGAGGGTAACGAAAGAACAGCTAGGTCGCTGCTTCTTGCTTCCTACATTCTCTCAACCATTGGTGTGGTGTTTGGCATCATACTTTTCAGCGTCATCCTAGCCACTAAGAAAAAATGAGCACCCCCCAACATGATTTGGATGACTTTTACAGATGTCACTAACTTTTTTTATACAATATTTCATTGGATTTCTATATTTTTCATAATCTTCAGTTACCAATACTTTGGGCTTATTTATTATGGGTGATGATATTTTTTTCAAAATTAAAAAAATATTGTCGACGAGTGTTTTTCATGAATTGAAGTACGAATGATTTAATATTGGAAAAATGAAAATAAATTATTTTTCCAAAAGCTGCTATTACTGTCTTTTTATTGATGGATTTTTAAATAAAAGTTTTGAACTAAAAACAGACGAAAACCCTTTTGGGTGTCATTCTTTTCTATGACCGCAATCTCGCTCTATAACATTATTTTTTTTTTTTTATTCTTTAAAAATCAGAATCTGACAGACGCAGAAACTGTAACAACATGCAAGGCAGTGAAACAAAATTAAACAAATAAGTGAGAAAATAAATACAAAAAGTGAGGAAGAGAAATGATAAAACATAAAAAATAAAAATTATTATTCTTACGTTAATAAAATAAACAATGACGACGAGAATTTCTTTCGAAATATTGAGAAACGTAATCAAAAAATTATCCAACGCTAGTGATTCGGTAGATTTCATAAATTAGTTTACGTTATTTTATTTAAAATGGTTTTATCTCACTTCAGTTGGTTGAGAAAGTTTCATAATTCATCCATGCGACAGAAATATGATGAATAACATATTAAAATAATAAAAAGATGGCAGTAATATAAATGGAAATAATGAAAAGTGTTATTATTATTTGCTATATTTTATTTAATAATATGGACAATAATATTTTTATTATTAATTATTATTGTTGCTGTTGTTTGAAGTAATTTATTTATTTTAATTACAATGAACGGTAAATACCAGAATAGTTAGTCGCACTATGTTCTGATTCGGATTCTAAAAGCTTTTTCTGTAAGGCCCGAATGAATAGATGGGTTAGTGATTGGATGATTGAGAAGATGAACGAACGAACCAATGAACAAATGAATCATTAAATGAACGAATGAATGAATGAATGAACAAATTAATAAATAATCGAATGAGTAAGTGAATGAATGAATCAGTAAATGAATGAGTGGGCAAGAAACTAGAATAGAAATATGAACGAAAGAGCGAATTAACCATAAACTTATTAACAACATAACAACAGTCACCACAGATCAACAACTATAACAAACTAATGCAAATAATAACAACCGCAAAAAATAAAATAAATGCATTGAAAAACAAAAAATACGTAACGAAAACGAAATAGAAAATACCCAAACCACAAATTGATGATAATTGTTTTGAGAAAGTAAATCGTTTGATGGTGTGATAATAATAACAATTGTTCATCAGTCGGCTGTATTTAACGTTATAAGATCTTGTTTGCCAATTATGAATGAACACAGCTGTTCGGGGAAAACACGTTTGTGTACAAGTGTGTGTACGTGTAAAAGAGATAGAAAAATTTATATATATGTGTGTGTATGTGTATATATATATATATATATATATATACAAATACATGGCTGGTAATATATGGATATATAAGCATCTACAAACACCTCATCAATGGCATATAGTTAATCTTCGTTAATTACGTTTGTTGTCTAAAACAGGATTTCAAATACGCAAGTAGCTCTACTGAGGCTAGCAATAACAACAGCAACCACTCCTTTTGTAGCAAAATCAGTAGCGGTCTAAGTCAGTAGAAGCAAGAAGACAATGGAGACAACTCTGGAACATGCGGAGAAAAGTGACCCTCCGGCATACGCCATCCATCCTCCAAATCAACCGCCCCAACAACCTTATCCAAATCAACCGTACCCACCTCAACAACAGACCAATCCACCCCAACAACCGTACCCCCAGCAGCCACCTTACCCACAGCAGCCATACGTCTACACAACTGGACAACCACAGCAAATGAACCCTGGAAATGTTGTCCAAATAGGCCAGCCTGTGACAGTCCTCTACAATAGGCCCACCCTTAATTTCACGGGGGCCATTATTTTCTCGTGCATTGTCTTTTGGTGCTGCGGTTGGATTTTTGGGCTGATTGCTTTTGTACTCGCAAGTGAGTCTGCTTGTTTGTCTGTCTGTTTGTTTGGTTGGTTGGTTGTTTGGTTTTTGTTTGTTTGTTTGGTTGATTGGTTGGTTGGTTGATTGGTTGGTTGATTGGCTGATTAATTGGTTGGTTGTTTGGTTGGCTGGTTGATTGGTTGTTTGGTTGGTTGGTTGTTTAGTTGTTGTGTGTTGCAGCTTTTGTTCAACCACTTTATCAATTATATTAATTAACTTTTTAGTTTTTCATTAATCAAATATTTAATTAATTAATTATACTATCATTTGATAATTGAATAATCAATAAATAAATCATCTATCTATCAATAAATCCAACAATCAATCCAACAATCAGTCAATCCAGCAATCAATCAATCAATCCAGCAATCAATTAATCAATCAATCAACTCAACAACCAATCAATATGCCCAGCAATCTATCATTCAATCCAGCAACCATCCAACAACCAATCAATCCAACACATCCAACAATTATTACGCAGTGATCGGCCAATCGACAGCCTCAGACGGCAATGAGAGCTCGGCAAAATCCCTCCTGACAGCCTCCTACGCCCTCTCCACCATCGGATTGGTGATCGGCATCATCCTCTTCATCGTCATCATCGTCCTGTCCGTTAGAGTCAGCAAGAGTTGCTACTACGACAGCCACGGCAACTACAGATGTTCTACTTGAATGTCTAGTCTACAGACTAAATTAGACATATAAGTCAAATTTATGTCTAGATTAGACGTATAGGTTTAATTTGTGTCTAGACACATAGGTCTAATTTAGGTCTAGGTCTAGATTACCAGCCAAATTCATTATATAGATGAGATTAGCCAAATTAGGTAGACAGTGTATATTTTTAAATCAGGAAAGGTGAAAAATATACACTGGATTATTAGATTAGTTTTATATTTTGCTTATTATGAAATCTACAAACTCGTTGAATTCGATATTATTGCTCCTTTATGTATATTACGTTATGATCAGACGGCGATGGCTATTATGTTTCATTTAAAAACCTTTTCTAACTTTTTACAAATTTAAAAACTTCAACTTAATTCTTAAACTCTATTTAATGTTAATCATTAGAAATGGTTTTCAAAAATATTACGATGATGAATAAGAATATAGCATGATTTTAACTTGAAATCAAAAAAATGTAGATTTTAATAATGGCGTAATGTAATCAAACTTAAATCTTACATCAATTAGACAGTTTAATTTAAACATTTAATCATGAAGAGTTCCTAAAGAAAGATAGTAATTATCGTGCATACGTGTATGTTACAATTTTAATTAACTAATTAGTTAATCTATTATAAGCAAATTACAATCAATCAAACAATCAATCAATGGATCCAGAAGTTTGGGTAGGATAATTCCCAAAATCCTTAAAGAATGACCCTTTTTTGACTAATTCCCGTTTGGCGGGGATTCCTTTCAAAATGCAAAGTTGATAGTCTTAATTTTTACATGGAATTTTCAAAAATATTTTTTTTTAAATTATTTGTTGTAGTTAATACATTTTATGATTATTATATTAATATAAATGTCTAGATCTATGTAAATATCTGCCAATGAGTATTAAACTTCACAATGATTTAAATATGTAATGCAAACTTATAAGATGGGTAAACATCACGATAAATTAATAATTTGAGCGGGTCGGTGTGTGTGTGTGTGTGTGTGTGTGTGTGTGTGTGGTGTATGTGTGTGTGTTTACGAGTGGACAACTGTGCTCTGCTGATGACAACCTTATATTTTATGGAGGATAGTATAAATGGATTATATAGTAATTGTAGATTGTTATAATCTTTGGGGTTTTGAAAATGTAGGGCCCTCAGTCATCACACACACAAACACACAAACGTATATATTTAAACATTCCGCTGCTACTACTGCTGCTACTACTACTACTACTAAAACTACTGCTATTGCTACTACAGCTACTTCTTCTACTAGTACTATTACTATTCCTACTGCTTCTGCTGCTTCTACAACTACTACTGTCACTATTACTACTACTGCTGCTGTAACTACTACTACTACTATTACTACAGCTAATAATAACAATAATAATAATAAATTAAAAAATGAATTACTCAGAATGATCGCTTGAGTTACGCTTGCACGTTTACATGCAGCTGTGTTTGAAGCATTCACTGATTAATACAGGTAACTACAATACCTGTGTGCGATCCTTTCTCTTGCTTCACTCTTTCTCCTGCCCGACCCTCTTACTCTTTCTCTCTCTTTTTTCTTTTTTTCCAATCTCTCACTTTTTTGTCACTTTCTTTCCCTATATAATACATACGTATGTATAGGCCTATATATCAATCTCTTTCTCTCTTGTTTTCTTTTGCTTTCTCTCTCTCAGTTTCTTCTTTCTCTTCTCTCCCTCTTTTTCTTTCTTTCTTATATATATATATAAATTCTAGCTTATATATATGATATTAGGTGTATCGATAAAATTTGTAGCATTCAAATAAGGTAAAATCCAACTTGATTGTAAAATCGCACAATATAATAGTACTTCATTGTGCGAGAGTTAACTGCGTTTTAAGAAAGTTGGATAGCAGAAATAATAAATTTGTTGATATTCAAAAGAAATATTGTTTTCAGAGACTTTTTGAAAAAATATTTGCCACAAAATAAAAAATATTTATAATCTTAAAATTAGTTTCGAGTGTCTTACTTTCAACAGAATCGATATTTCTACAAAAAACCAAAGAAGAGTTAGAAAGCAGGTAAATTATCAAATCCCTCGTATAACAATAATGAATCAGGCTGGTTTTGAAAAGTTCCAACCACCGCCAAACTATTCTGCGGAACCAACTGCTCCGAACCCGACCGATCCAACGTACCAACGTTTGCATCAGCAACCCAACTTTACAGAACAATACCCTCCCACTCAGTACCCTGCACAGCACCCTCTCTATGGCCAGCCCGCGTATGGCCAACCTCCAAATGGCCTGCCCCCGTATGGCCAGCCCGCATATTCTCCACAATATGCTTACGGGCAGAATCAGCACACCACAAATATAGTTCAAGTTGGTCATGCACCTCCTCCAGCTGTATACTTCGCCAACCGACCGTACATCAACTTCACCGGAGCCATCGTCTTCTCGTGTATTGTGTACTGGCTGTTTGGGTGTCTGTTTGGTATGGTTGCCTTCATTCTTGCAAGTTAGTCATGTTCGATTCGTTTGATAATATAATTACTTAAGGCTTAAACGATCAATTTGATGTCTCAAGTTCGCTAAATACATTACATTGTTAAGAAAAACCATTATTTTCCCATGGAACTGCAACTAAAACATTCAACCAATAATATATTAATTTATAACAGTCAATTTATAACACACCAAAATACGTACATACACAGGTACACACGCACGCACGCACACGCACACATATTTCCAGGCAGATAATTACGTAGAGAACAAATCACATTTCAATCAATATTTTAATCTAACTCAGTCACTCATCGATAAAAGTTCTACAAACAAACAAAAAAAAACCCACTTAATTACAAATTCTTCACCAAAAAACTAAACAGTGGTTGGTCAGTCGCAGTCAACGAACGGTGAAGTAAGATCGGCCAGAGGTCTGTTGATAGCTTCATATGTGCTTTCCACAGTTGGAATGATACTTGGTATCATTGCCTTCATCGTCATCGTCGTTGTATTGACCAAGAACCCTTACTACAAATCAACATCATGCTACTACTATGGTTCTTCCTATATATGCTATTGATGAAGTTTTTAGTAGTATCATATGATTTTATTCCAAGTACTTATGAATGTATTGGGAATACAGTTCAGTACTTTTAAATGTATTTTTAATGATTTTTTTGTTATTGTAGCTATAAGCCTTATAAATGTTATTAATGGCACAAAAATTTTTATTGTTAGTGATGATATTTCGTTATCGCGATACTATGTACTTGTTGGACGATACAGATGTGTTCATGTTAATAAAGGTAAAGATATAAAGTATGACATAATTTTACTTATGATGGTATGTTACTATGGGTATAGTAATACTTAATGATGTTGTTTAAGATGTTTATGAGACTACTACAATCAATTTTTGTTTGGGAGGTCATCTCCATAAAGTAGGAAATGTATTGATTTAATTGGTATGACCGCGCTTGAATTTAAGTCAAACGTCTATTTTTTTCAAAATATTCAAAATGTAGTAGTAAGATTAATTTTTGGAGTTTTAGGTTTTTGGTGATAAAAATGTATAAACGTTTAATTTTAATTAGTTAAACAATGAGTTATTTGCTAAGATCTAAAAGTTTTTTATTGTTTTTTTTTTTTTGTTAATTTTCGCATGCTATCTTTACAAACCTTTGAGTGATTTAACGATATTTCTTTTACGCTGCTAACTTTCGTCATCTTATGTTTGATTTGATTCATTTTGGAAAGAGAACTTCAACATTTTTTTTACCTAAATAGTACATTAATCATTAATTTTTAAAATCTTTTGATTGCTTATCAAAAATAAAATTTCATTCCTGTTTGTCAGATCAATTTTTCGTTTCGATTTAAATAGAGTAGTAGTGGTTTTATTTTATTTTAGCTGCTGAAATTTTACGTTCTTTCGTTTTCTCTTACCCTTTCTCTCTCTCTCTCTCTCTCTCTCTCTCTCTCTCTCTCTTCTTTTCTCTCTCTTTCTCTCTCGTAATAGACTGACATAATTGACTTGACGAAGTAGTAAAAGTAAAATGAAAACAGGTTGAATATGATTGATAAATAATTTCATACAATGAATTCATAGATGTTAATGTACACACACACATACATACATACATACACATACATACACGCATATACACACATACATACATACATACATACATAACATACACACATACATATACTGTTAAGACATACATATACACACATATGTGTCTGGTGTGTACGTGTGTGTTGTGTATGTGTTGTATTATTAGCGAATTATTTTTAACAAATTTTAAGTTCGTTATAGTTAAACATTAAACTGCTATAATTTAATAGTTACATGTTGTATGTATGCCAGTAAATTGGCGAAAAATATTCGCTAACCAGTAAGATAATTTGCGATGTGGGATGTTTAACGCAGTCGATGTTGAACTTTCAATGGGATGTTAAATAATATTCATTGTATATAATTACACTGCAGTCATTTTAACGTAATTTTATGCAATTTGTGACAATTGATTACAGTAGAAGGAGAAGATTTCAAATTTGTAACTGTTCATGCTGCATGTTGCTCTGGTTTCCAGTAAAGCTTATAATAGATGATGAAACACAAAATGTTGATACGCCTGGAAGTGAATGTTCCACCACTGACCATCACCCTCTTCTTTTGATGACGACCAGGCTGGTCACCTTTCCACTTGTTGTTGGGTTATTTGATGGATTTTTTTAACAGACTCACATTTGTCTATTTAGATTTTTTAATTGGATTAAATTTGGTTTACAAAATGTTTTACTTCAACTCAAGTTTTCGCATAATATTTTTTATTAAAAAACTCCTTTTTAGGAATGATAATTAAAAAAACACTCATAAAACAACAACAAACAAACAAGAAAACAACAATCTATCTATCTATCTACCTATCTATCTATCTATCTATCTATCTATCTATCTATCTATCTATCTATCTATCTATCTATCTATCTATCTATCTATCTATCTATCTATCTATCTATCTATCTATCTATCTATCTATCTATCTATCTATCTATCTATCTATCTATCTATCTATCTATCTATCTATCTATCTATCTATCTATCTATCTATCTATCTATCTATCTATCTATCTATCTATCTATCTATCTATCTATCTATCTATCTATCTATCTATCTATCTATCTATCTATCTATCTATCTATCTATCTATCTATCTATCTATCTATCTATCTATCTATCTATCTATCTATCTATCTATCTAACTATCTATCTATCTATCTATCTATCTATCTATCTATCTATCTATCTATCTATCTATCTATCTATCTATCTATCTATCTATCTATCTATCTATCTATCTATCTATCTATCTATCTATCTATCTATCTATCTATCTATAGCGTATGAAGGGATCTCCCAATGAAGGAGTTTCTCAAAAATGTTGAGCTAACTTCGAGAAGCGTGTAACCTGACTCCAAGGAAAACAGACTTCAAAGAAGGACTAGCTCAATACAGAACGAGCGTTAAATCTTGACACACACTCACACACATACAGGCACACACGCACACATACACAAATTTATCTTAATGTTATAAGCTTGAGATAAATGTTCAATAACTGCTCCATCCCACTAAGCATTTTAATACTTTGACGTGTGTGTGTGTGAGTGTGAGTGTGTGAGTGTGTGTTTGTGTGTGTGTATGGGTGTTTATGTGCGTGTGTGTATTTACATATATTTAAGAGTAACCTTTGGTTATTATTTGCTTTAATTCGAAACTTTAATTATTCAACGTAACGTTTGATCTCTGTAAATATAAATATATAATTTTATTTTGTTACTTTGTATCTTACACGTTTGTTTGTATGTTTGTATGTGTCTGTGTTTGTATGTGTGTGTGTTTGTGTACTTGCGTGTGTGTATCTCGAAACGTTGTTGTTTGAGTTATCTTTCAATACGTCAGTAGTAGTTGTTGTTATCATCTAATCTTACCGGTAATTCTATGTATATTAAAAACTCATATGTATGCAAAAGTGAATATATATATATATAAATATATATATATGTTAATGAGTGTGTGTGTGTATGTTTGTGTATAGATGTGTGTATGCAAGTATGTATGCCTATATACACACACGAGATGTATGCGCGCAAATTGCATGCAGAGAGCAAAAATGTCGATATTTTAAAATGATACACACACACGCACCCACACATATACGCATACGCATACACAGACATAAACATATACACATACCACATACACACACGCATATATACACACATATACATATACACATACACACACACACGAACAAAATAAATTACACATTGTCGATGTGTAGAAAAAAGAAAAAACCCCGCATTCAAGCGCAATGGCTGGATTATACATAACTTCTGTTACATTTCTCTACTTAGCGGTTTTTCTGATGTTTGTGCGTGTAAATGAATCATCAAACAAAACAACTATGGCAACAACAAATACAACACCATCTTCATGCTCATCATCTTTATCATCATCATCATCGTCGTCGTCACATCATCATCGTTAGATATATACTGACTATAATAGGTTTTTGTGTCTATTGGATATTTACGCTGTAAATAAGCGCTGTGTGTGTAACTTTTTTTGGTTTTCTAATGTATATTTTCTATTTGTTAATTTATTTTTTTTATTAAATTAAATAATTGCCGGTGTTTTTTTGGGTGATCATTAAAAAAATTGTTGAAATTTTTTTATTTTTCTGTTAGAAAGATATATTTTAATTAAAAAAAGGCATAGATTAGTGGTGTTAGAGCCTAGAAGTGTTGTTACGAAAAATTCTGCGGACACGACCTTCAATTTATTTCATTAATTTCAATCTGATATAAAAAAAATTTAACAAATTGACATTAATTCAATTCGAACTTAATTCAAAAGTTACAATAAAAACTTACCCACTGCAGAGAAAAAAAAAGATAAAAAAAAGATAAAGATAAAAAACCAACGACAGCCTTAATATGGAACCTGGTAAACAACAAACGGGCTACCACCCTAATCAAGGCTACCCCCCTAATCAAGGTTACCCTCCTAACCAAGGTTACCCCCCTAACCAATACAACCCTGGTGCCTCTAGCAATGTATACGTGGGCCAGCCTCCTCATCCGAGCACTGTGATCTACATGGCAAACCGGCCCTACCTTAATTTCACTGGGGCCATTGTATTTTCCTGTATTGTATTTTGGTGCTGTGGTTGTCTGTTTGGGCTGATCGCTTTTATTCTCGCAAGTAAGGTTTTGTTTATTTTATTATTTTCAAAAATAAAAACAAATCAAAAAGTTTTATAAAATTCTCGCTGATGAAAAAAAATTAATCCATTTGTCCATCAATCAATTAATCTATCAATCAATCAAATCTATCCAATTATTCATTCATTCATCCATCCATCCATCCATTCATTCATTCATTCATTCATTCATTCATTCATTCATTCATTCATTCATTCATTCATTCATTCATTCATTCATTCATTCATTCATTCATTCATTCATTCATTCATTCATTCATTCATTCATTCATTCATCCATTCATCCATTCATCCATTCATCCATTCATTCATTCATTCATTTATTCATTCATCTCAGTGGTCGGTCAGTCTTCAGCTTCGAATGGCGATGAGGCATCAGCAAAATCTTACCTGACGGCTTCGTACGTTCTGTCCACTATTGGCTTCGTCCTCGGCCTCATTCTCATCATCGTCCTAGTCGCCCTTGCAGCTACTGGCGCGGCTTTAGTGACTAAGGCCGCAAAGGAAAATACTTACTACTGGGTTAGTTTGGCAGTCTAGATGATGGAATGAATTAATAACTTAAAATTTTGTGAGATTATAAATGAAAATATCAAATAAGAAAGAAATGTTTCAAGAATAATGTTCCAAAAATTTTATTGGAAAATTTTTGGCATCAATTGCTGCGTGGTTTGAACTTTGCTATCTGTGTTGGACGGATCTGCACTTTTATGAATTCATTCAGTTGATCGTTCAATTATTTATCTCTTTATTCATTCATTTACTTATTCATTCATATGTTTTTTCATTCATTCACTCACTCATCAGAAAACAATTGCTTTACAATTTTTTCTTCTGATTAAACCTGAAAATTTCCCCAAAATCTTCCAAAAAGTTGGCTGTAGTATCAAAGCTCATCTTCAGTCCATCCTCTAAACTTTTAAACAAATTGTTAATTGTAAAACTTAGTGAAAAAAATAATAAGAAGAACGTTAACAATTACATAGAAATTTTTAAAATATTTTAATACTTTTTTTTCTCCGCAGAACAATCAATATAGTGGATAAAGAACACCTTGTTACAAATGAAACTACAAAGAATATACGATAAAAAATAACTTCGGTGATTATTTTAAATTTTATAATACGGAACTTATGATATGTACTCTTAGATAGCGAAGCATTCATTACTAGATAGCAGTGATTCAATCAAGTTTATTTATTATATTTACACTAAACACTGTCGACTGATTTATAATTCTGACTTTATTGATTTGAAATATTTAATATATAAAGCTAAATATGCTGAAAATCTATAACTAGTTAAAATATTAACCAATATTTTTGCTCTCAAATCGATTGTTTTTTGATTTATTAAACCTACAGCCATAAACGATTTGCCAAAGAATATTTTTTAAGAATATTTTTCACTTACAAAGAATTAAATGACATTTTTATCTTCACCGCTTTTTTATTTATTACAAGGTGTGCTGGTAGATTAGAAAATTCAGAAATATGTTTTTATCCTTTTATTTACACCTGCAAAATAACCAAAAAGTTTAATTGCATTTTATTAGAACTTAAATGACAAACATTATGTGGCTATCTTTGTGTGGTATCATGGTGAAGTTATGATATACTATCACGGTATAATGATAGCAAAGTTTTTGTGATATTATGGTGGTACAGTTTCATTGTATTATGCATGAAGACTATGATGGTCAAATAATGATCTGATGTTTATGACGACGACGATGATGAAGACGATGAAGAAACATTTATTTTTATCAAATTTTTAAAATTTTTACGCATTAAGCTGTTTAGCCTAATGCAACAACATGCCATTTAACTTTTAACTTACACCAAAAATATTCTATTCTCCGCTAAACTTGATACATGACACATGATACATTATTGTTTAATTATATTATACTCTTCTGTGGCTTTTTCTCTCTCTCACTTTTGCTTATTTTCTCTCTCTTGCTCTTGCTCTCCCTCTCTGATTTTTAATATCTCTTTCTCTTTTCTCTGACTATCTAGCACTGTGTGACTATGTTATCCTACAACATTTTTTATCTCTATAACTCTTTTTCTCACCTTCCTTCTCTCGCTAAGAACCTATTTGATACTATGACTATTTGATACTATGAAGTATTCAGCTAGGATGAGTAAAATCCTTCCGTCATAAACTAAACAGCCGGCCTTCAGATGAGGTGTACCTGTGACTGTTGAGGAACAAGCGCCAGGACTATATCGTGTTACAATTTAAATAATTTTATCTTTAATTTTATTTTTAAATATTTTTCTTTTTAAAATCTATCAAAATTATCCTCCATTTTAGTATTTTATCACTTTATTAGACACGAAAATGGTTTGTATTACAATTTTTTTCGACAAATCGGACAAAAGTAGTAGTAGTAGCAGCAGCAATAGTAGTAGTAGTAGCAGCAGTAACAGCAGCAGCAATTGTAGTAAAAGAAGCAGCAGTAGTAGTAGTAGTAGTAGTAGTAGAATTAGTAGTAGTAGTAGTAGTAGTATTCAGCTAAGCATTGTTATGCTATGGGTAATGTCTTGACATAAATCCAAAGCTTATGTATAACTATAATAATGTGACTCAAACGTATTGTTAGGATTCCAAATTTATTTCAATTTTTCTTTTCAATACATTTGGTAGTACTATATTTAAGAAGCTCTATCTATACTGCAATAGGATTTCTTATAATGTTTGTGATGTGACCAATTGTAATCTTTAAAGAATTCTTCTGATACCGTCAAAACGTGAAAATATATTATATTCATTTATTAATTTAAATTTTAGTTAGGAAATTTAATTCTTAATTTAAATTTGTCTCGAAAAATTGTAAGGTGTTTAAAATCTGAATGATACAAAATGCCGTCAGTGTCCGTATATAACTTCCTGATAGATGTTACAGTGCTCTTCCTTCTACTTAATTCCTTCGTTACTTATTCGGGTTAGTAGGTACTGCTCTGCTACTTCACTGCTTTCTCAAAATTTATAACTTTCATCGTAAATAAAGTACAATCCTTATTTTTCAATTGTATAAAGTTTAGTTTTTAACTAATATTACGAAGTAACTATAATACAGTAGCCTAAATAATTAGTTTTGAATTATCATAAAGTACACTTTAGGAATTTCAATGCAGTACATTAAGGTGTATGGTTTAATATGTTTAATACTGCAGTTTCACCGACCTTGTTCAAATGCAAAAGGATCCAAGTTTATCCCATTAGATGCAAGAGAAGCAGCGATTTGATAAATTTTTATTCAACTTTTTGGATAAATAAGTTGAGAAAATTTATTTGAAAATTAAAAACTAAAAATTTGATGGAAATCTTTTTCAGAATCCAAAAAAAGTTGTCCGCTGAGAGTCTGCTACAAGCCATGTGCGTCTGGATATCGCTTCAATAAAGATGGATGCATGAATTGTCTGTGTGTGGACCCCTGTGAGGTCTGTGTGTGTATGTGCGTGTGTGTGTGTGTATGTGTGTCTCTGTGTGTGTGTGTATGTGTTTGTGTGTGTGTATGTGTGTGTGTCTGTGTGTGTGTGTGTATGTGTGTGTGTTTGTATGTCTCAATGTTCATTTTGTATGCGTTAATTTGTTATTTTTGAGTCAATGAACGAGTGAATGAATGAATGAATGAACAAATAAATGAATGAATGAAAGAAGAAATGAATGAATAAATGAAGGAAGGAAAGAAAAGAAAAAAGGAAGGAATAAATGAATAAATGAATGACTTATTGTATAAAAAATTCAGAACGTGGTCTGTGATAGAGGAGAAACATGTAAGGCCGTCCAATACCCCTGTATCTCCACGCCTTGCTATCTCGAACCGAAATGCGTTTCGCGTTAGTTTTTTATTATTATTGTTATTATTATTATTATTATAATTATTATTATCATTATTGCCGTTGTTGTTTTATATAATAATAATTTTTTTAATTATTTTTATTATTGCTTATACTGCAGATATTTTTCATTAAGAACATCTTACCCCAACACTGATCAAATGATCAAACATTCATTTGATTAGAACATAAACGATAAAAAAAAACAACAAAAACAACAAAAATAATAATAATAGCAAATCATTTCCCCGCCAAAATTATTTTCCCGCCAAAATTATTTTCCCACCAAAATCTTCCCTAGCTTGTCCGAAGAAGAACTGCGCGCGCTCTTGTGACAGTGGCTACAAAAAGGACAGCAAGGGTTGTTATACTTGCACATGTCTGGACCCCTGCGAGGTTATTATTATTATTATTATTTGCAATAATAATAATAATTATTATTATTATTTGTTATATTATTGTGTGTCCTTATTTGTTGCTATTATTATTATTATTATTGTTGTTGTTGTTGTTTTTATCGTCATGAGAAATGTTTCAAAATACACAAACACGACTCTCATTAATTCTAACAGCTACAATTAATAATAATAATAATATTGATGATGATAATAATAATAATAATGATAGTAATAACCATAATAAATACTTATAATAATAATAAATAATTATAATAATAATAAACAGAACAGTCCGTGCAAAGAGAGCCAGTTGTGTCAATCTTCCCAGAGCATGTGCAAGGGGGAAGTCTGCTATACCTCCGCTCAATGCCTTAGCTGTTAGTTTTTATTATTATTGTTATTATTATTATTATATTTCATTCATTTATTTTATTTTATTTTACTTTATTTCATTGAATATTTATTTCGCCCTTATTTGGAAAAAATAAAAGAGTTCCCATTATTATTATTGTTATCGTTGTTATTATTATTATTATAATTATTGTTGTTTTTGTTGCTGTTGTTGCTGCTGCTGATGATGATGCTGTTGATATTGACGATCATGATGTTGTTGCTGTTGTGGCAATCATCATGACGTTGTTGTTGTTGTTGTTATTATTATTGTTGTTGTTGTTATTGTTGTTGTTATTGTTGTTATTATAGTTTGTCCGAAACTGGACTGTACCGCGACCACTTGCTCCAGTGGCTACAAGAAAGATGCTGATGGCTGTAAGATTTGCTCGTGCGCTGATGCTTGCGAGGTTTTCATTCATCGTTCTTGTCGTTGTTTGTTGTTGTTGTTGCTGCTGCTGCTGTTGCTGTTGTTGTTTGCTGTTGTTGTTGCTGCTGCTACTGCTACTGCTACTTTTACTGTTGTTGTTGTGGTTGTTGTCGTTTTTTTTATGTCGTATTCTGTTACTGATCGTAATTCTTTGTTATTATTTTTAACATACTCAAATACAGAGATTAAACACTATATATATTTACATACCCATCATCAAACACACACAGACACACACAGACACACACAAAGACACAAACAAAGACACAGACACACACAAAGACACGGACACATACACACAGACACACACAAAGACACAAACACACACACAGGAAATGATATGTGATCAAGGGACCAGCTGTAGACTCATGGTTAACCCGACTTGCAATAATGAAAAACTCTGCTACCCTGTTGCTATTTGCACTGAAATAAGTTGGGGAAAATTTGATGAGGATGATGAAAATGAGGATGTCGTTGATGTTGTGCAAATGATGATAATGACAATGTTGTTGTTGTTGTATTTGTTGTTGTTGTTGATGTGATGATGACAATGGTGTTACTGTTCTGGAGACGTATTTGTTGTTTTAGTCCCGTTGTTGTCATTATAATACTATTTTCTACGTTGATTATCATATTATCGTAGAAATAAATTTCTTCACATGATAAGATGACGTCATCGTCATCATCGCCGTCGTCATCATTTTCAGAGTGTGACGTCAACAGAACCGTGAAATGCCCGATCCAATGCCCCGGCGGCTTTAAGAGGGACAAGGACGACTGCGAAGTTTGCGAATGCAAAGATCCGTGTGACGTATGTTTTCTTTAATTTTAATTTCAATTCATTTATCACATACATACACATATAAACACACACATATACCACACATATGTCACACATACACACACGCACGCACACACACACACACTCACATACACTCACAGGTACAAAAGGACTCGTGTAAAGCTGATGAAGTCTGCCAAAACATTAAAGTCTACTGCCCAACGGCCAAATGCAATACGGATTTTGGCAGATGCGTTAGTAGTATATTCGTTAAATAACTTTCTTTTAATTTAGTAAATTTTTTTTTCTAATATTTAAAATTAACAATAGAAGAAAATCATTAGGTTATTATTATTGTTGTTTAATATTCATAAACAATGATAAATTTGTTAATCTAAATAAATTTAATTAATTAATTAATTGTGAAACTTTAGACAAATTTTAATGAAAAAGTCTAAAAAAAATACACATGAAATAGTTAATATGATATTCGCTTATATCGGATTGACAAATAAAGGTTAAAGTTAAAGGTCAATTTCTGTTGACCACTTGCCTCAGAGGACAATGTTATCTTGCAATGACATTTCGTTACAGGTTTTGAAAAGCGATAAGAAGAAGAAGCGATAGAATTAACCGGTGTCTTTCCACTTCATAATTTTATGTTTTAGATGTTTCAAACAACTACATATGTGTGTGTGTGTGTTTGTGTGTCTTTTTTTTCTATTTTCTCTCTTTCTATCTTTCCCTTTTTTTCTCTCTCTCTAGCTTTTTTATCTTTTTTCGAGTGTGTGTGTGTTTGTGTGTAGAAAAACGTTTGAATTTGAAAAGACCTATTCTATTGTGTTTTAATTTTACCATTAAAGGTGTTCAATTAAGTAAACTATTTCATTAAATTTCGTGCTTTTGTTAGTACTATGTTGGTTTTCTTTGCTTGAGCAACTTAGAGTTAATCTCATCTGAAACGATTCAAATCAATTCGGTTGAAGGACACGTTCGAAAGTTTTGAATTTTGAAAAACTAGCCATGTCTATATACTGCTCTATAATTCCGTTACCAGATTTGTCGGAAAAAGAATCTTTACAGACCAAAACTTTAGATATTGAGAACAAAAGTTTTTTTTGTTAAAGGAACTATCCATAAGGGATGTCAAGCTTAGAGAGGGGCATGGATGGGACCAAAAAATCAAGTAGAAAAATGTGATAATCTTTACCAAGATTGTTATCAATAAACCATGAATTCAATAAAACTTGATAAACGTTAGGTCAAAATGTTAGAATAGGCGCTGAATCAACTTTACATAAAAACAATAACCTTTCCAAAACATTTGCCCGAATATGAAGTTATGCTATATTATTTTCCCAGACTGTGAGAAGAAATTTGTGGCAAATGAAACACTTGGCATAATTGGTTATGAAAATACGATTGGATTCTTGTATGTAGATGTAGAATCGACATTAGAAACGTCATCTTTCGTCTGACCCAGTGAGAATTAGGAGGCAGCAACTTGTACTTTGGTGAATTCTTTCACGGACAGACCAACCATTTAAGTTATCGTATTAGGATTTCATATTGTATGCGTGAACTGTATATAGTTTAAATGACTATTATTTAAAATATCTCTCTTGCGTTTTAAACTTTTAAATTTCAAAGAAAAAAAAATCAATAGCTCGTTTCGAAGGAAACTCTACTGCTCTTACTACTTCAAGTCTTTATACCAATATTTGATAAGTATAATTACATTTGTTGCTAAAAACATCTTTTTAAATGCCGCCACAATATTTTTGAAAAATTTATTTAAAACTATGAAATCATAAATTGAAAAAAAAAATACTGAAAACGAGTTAAACAAAACTGACAGTACACATTGACGGCTGGATAGATCCAAAGGCAAATTTTTTATAATGGAAAGAGATGATATATTAACAAGTCAACAGCTCAAAAAGAAATACGTTTTCATTAAAAAAAGTCTTAAAAAAATCTTAAAACAAAAAACATCTCACGTATTCATTCTACATTTGTGACTTTATTACATTTGGCCAGACTCTTTTACAAAATAAATTTCGTTGTCTCGTTTTGTCTCGTTTCGATTCGTTTCTTCCCAAACGTCAGTGGGGATGGTTAGGACTATTTTTGGCGTATTCCAGTAAGATTTTCCTCCACTTTCTGAGAAGTTTTTTCTTGAATTCTACATTGTACCTACGCATGTTTGAACTAATTGTCATCAGTTGCTCGTCTGTAATCTCTGTCAGGATTTGCACCAGGTGAGGAATGCTTTCGTATATCACTCCGTAAGGCATTACCTGGTTAGGTAAAATGATGTTGGGTGTGTTTTGCTACATTAAGATGCCTAGAACTGCTACTGCAGTGACCTGTTTCGAATGCTAACAGATCCCCGACTACAACTACATGTGTGTGTGTGTGTGTTTGTGTTTGTGTGTGTGTGTGTGTGTGTGGTGTTGTTTACACGTGTGTTAATATAGGCTGTGTGTTCGTTGCCAGTTAGAAAATAATGACTAATAAATAAGATATTTGTAAGAAAATTTCGTTGTCTCGTCTGTAATAAATAGTAATAATAATAAGTAGAGGGTTGTCACAAAAAGTTATTATCGATTTAAATTACCTGGTAGAAATCGGCGAACTTCATCCAGTAGAGGACACTTTCATAATCGAATTCGTTTTTAGGATCGGGAATATTTTTTTGAGACTCGTCTGCTTCAATTTTCGATTTTGCTGTTCGTTCTTTGAAAAATGCTCCCTCGAAAGATCTAAAAATAAATGAAAGTACATGTTCGTTAATTCGTACATTCATTCATTCATTTATTCACTCATTCGTTCGTTCGTTCATTCATTCACTCATTCATTCACTCTTTCATGCATTCACCCATTCATTCACTCTTTCATGCATTCATTCAGCTCCTAATTTAAAATCCATAATTTCAAATAATAATAATAATACACTAGACCACCAACCAACCTTTCAGGCATAATGTAGTATTCGACCTGCCATCTGGCGAGGAGTTCTGGCGATGGAAAGAACATCGGTATATTCATTCGGTACTGCTCGAATATGCTCATTACCGATATTTGATACGGTACGTGCACAATGCCTCGGTACTTGACTACTTCAGCGTACTCATGTCCTGAGGTCTGCTCTATCAGCATCGTCGAGTTCATCTGGCAACATTTGAGAATTTGAAATGAAAAACGAAAAAAAATTGAAGTATGAAGAGTGTTATCGTTTGAATATTAATGAATTGAACTTTGGTGTGGAGGAAAACACACACACACCACACACACATACACACACACGCACACAAAAACACATACACATACAAAGATATACACATACATATATATATATATATATATATTTTTTAATTTAATTTATTTATTTATTGTTTATTTAAAAGAACAGAGAGAGGCCAGAAGCTATCACTAACTTGAACGCACTCCGTAAGTACATAAAAGGATATAAATATATATATATATATATATATATATATATATATATACACACATATACAAAATATACATACATAAATTTACATACTCCAGCATATGATCGTAGAGGATGAGTAGCATATAAAAACAGAATAGAGAAATGTTTATCAGTGGCATGATGAAATGAAAAATTAATGTAAAAGTCTTACTTCGATGGAATACACATTAAAGATTGGTTGTAGGAAGATAAGGGTAAAATACTGAAAGTGAAAAACAGAAGAGGGGTAAAATGAAAACAAATGCTAACAAAATATGAAACTAAGTGGGAGATAATTCAATTGAAGCAAAAACAGTAATGGGGATGATAAAAATGAAATGATTAGAACGGAAATAATACATTCGTGAGTGTCTACAACTGGGTAAAAAAAGAGAGGACATATAAATAATTATATATTTATGCAGATAGATTTAAAATAAATGCAAATACATATGCAAATACATCTAGCTGAAAATTGGCTAACGTAATAAAATTGTAGAAGAAATTAAAAACACATTTAGACGAAAATTGATAGAGAGAGTAGTTAGTCGAAAAAAAAATCATCCTAAATAACTTAGGAATGCTGGATTTAAAGATGTTTTTGGAACTAATAGACCTAGTGGTTGTGGGTAGTTTATACATATATATACACGCACGCACATCCACACACACGCACATACACACAAACATACATACACAAACCGATAGGTACGTTTTGTCCGATGTTTGATTACTCATACAATACAGCAAATAATCTTACAATAATACTTTTTACAATATTAACCACTGCAGCAGGATATAATCATATTATATGTAGTTAATGTGCCAGGCTGTTTGCTTATTTCTCTCAATTATGGCGAGAGCAAATATACAAAGTAAATATGTGTGAGTGTGTGTGCGTGTGTGTGTGTGTGTGCTTGTTTCTTGTGTATTTAATATGTATATGTATACGAACGAACGAACGAACTAACGAACGAATGAACAAACAAATTAATTACTCAATAAAAGAGCTTACCAATTTGCAAGCGATGCTGAATTCTTCCAGAAAAATGCTGCTAAAACCCCGATCTCTCCTTCTCATCATCATGTACGTGTTATCTCTGTCAATATTTCTCTTAAAAATATAGTCGTAAATCATCTCAAAATAATTTAAAAATCTTTTTTTGTTTTTATTGTTATTATTGTTATCATTATTATTATTATTATTATTGGCTTTGTATTCGGTTTTTGTATAGTCGCACATACTGGGCAGGTGTTTAGCCTTGATTCCAGTGTAATACTCCAAAAACCTTCCAGATAAAAAAATTGATATTATTATTATTATTATTGTTTACTATCATTATTATTTGTAGTAGTAGTAGTAGCTGCAGCAGTACTAGCAGTACTAGTAGCAGTAGTAGAAGCAGTATTAGTAGTAGTAGAAGCAGCAGCTGTAGAAGCAGTAGCAGTAGTTGTTGTAGTAGTGTAATTATTATTAATACTAAATTATTTTGTAATTTACTTATTTACATATTCATTTTTATTATACACTGAACGCAAGATACCACCTAGCGTCATATAGATTATTCCCGCCGAAGAAATTCCACGGGTTCTTGGCGAGTACTCTGAAATTTTCATTCAACTCGTTCAGCCTTTCGACCGTGTATCTACCTACGTCATACCTGGCAAACGATTTCATTGGTTGACTTGGGTAATCTATGCCATCAAAGTAGTAAATATAGATTTGAATAAATTTAAAATAAAGACCTAGTGGTGGCGAGGACGATGACGCTTTTGTTTAGTTTGAGGTAAATCTCGCAGAGAGATGCTGGGTAGCTGCAATAAACAACATCCACGGATTTCATTTCGGCGTCATCCTTATAGGCCGTGACGTATTCATCCAAGATCGGTGGTTCTACATTCAGTACATTGTCACTTGTTAATACCTTTGAGGGTGTATGAGTGTGTTTGTGTGTGTGAGTGTGTGTATGTGCGTGCGTGTTTATGTATGTGTGTGTGCGTATGTATGTGTGTGTGTGCGTATGTATGTGTATGCGCGTGTGTGTGTAAGGTTTATTTTTTGGTATGGTGTCAAGTTTGATTTAAATATTTCCATTGCTGCAGTCACAATTTTATTCAAAACTATTCAATAAAAATAAAATTCATTATTATTTTTATTGTTATTATCATTATTAATATTATCAGAATATTACCTAATATAAAACAATGAAAAAAAACCTAGATGAAAGTTATTTTTAGCAGAAATAAGACATGAAAATTCTAGAAAAGACTTTTAAGCTTTTGGCGGCTTGGCAAGCTTCCTTCTGCCAGGCACACCTGTAAGGATCGAGGTTGTAGTTCTTCACCGTGACCCCGAACGACGAAATGAGGTCGACGACGTCTTTAATTGGAGTCATGTGCCACTCCGTCGCCCATATCACCAACGGTTTTTTCGTGAAAATTTTTTTAGCCCGAATCCTCGCTGACGGTGGCAAGATGGCGGTATCGTTGAGAATTACGAACGCTTCGTCCTCTCCATTGTCGTTCAATACTGACTGTTCTTCGGTAAAATACTTCAAAAACTGTCGACTTTCTTTGGTGTATTTGAATTCGATGGGGGGGTTAGATAGATCGTCGATTTGTAGTTGAACTGCCCTAATTATTTTGTATCTTCTGTACTGATAGGACCTGTATTTGATGGCGACGATGGTGATGAAGACGACGACGAATATGAGCAAACAGTAAGAGTTTCTTCTTGATCTGGCCCTGAAGTGTGGGATTTTCATGTTAAGCATTCAGAGTGAGTAAGTTGACGCAGAGCAAACGAACTCAACTGACGACGATTCAAACGCAACAACATGACATGCACTTCGATTATTTTTCGCCAATACTTTATAAGCTCCAGACTATAACTAACTAACTAACATTCAAATAAAAATGTTAATGTTAGGTTCAGACAAAGTGACGAACGCCGCAACTAATAAACTTTAAAATTGAACTGACGAGTGTAAATAAGTCAGTGATAAATACGACGACGAAGACACTCGAAGAAGCCTTACTTTTACCTGTTTACCTGTCTGCGAACGAAACATAACCTACCTACCTAATACTTACCAGCTGAGTTACTATATTTATACGGCGCTTACCTGTGAGTTCTTTGTGTGTTTCTACTCAATCAATATTACAAAATCGATCTTGTTTCATTCTTACTAAAGAGAAACACTTCAACATAGAACAAATTAAGTATAACGTACAACATATTTATAGTATAATGTTCTGTGTGTGGTGTACACTAATGGTTTACACGTGCGTGGGGTATGTGTGTATCTGTGCTTGCCTGCGTGTGTGAGTGTGTGTAAATGTGTGTGTGTGTGCGTGTAGTACGTATGTGTGTGTGTGTGTGTGTGTGTGTGTGTGTGTGTGTGTGTACCGCGGATGTTTAGGATATATTAAACATTTACACATTAAACTTATATACGAAGAATTATGAAATTGAAATAAATACGTATCAAGATAGATGTATGGATACTATAGATAATATTATATACTTTAGATCTACTACGGATAGTATAATAATCATTTAAAAGCCACATTAAGCATCTGGAGATGTTCCTCAGTTGTAAATAAATATTCACCAATAGCGAACGATGTTGTTATCTGCTAGCTGCTGCTTACCATCCTTTCTTA